ATATATATTTTTTGTGTTGATAAGCCTGAGTGGTCTGTTGAGTGACTGTTGTATTTGTTTAAATAATTGTTATGGGCAGGTTACAATATAATGTTTTTATTTTTTGTCATAATCATGTCTTGTGGTTATTTGACAGGAGTTTTACTTTTAAACTGTAAGTGTATTTAATTTAGTTTAATGCAAATAAAACACAAATTAAACCAAAATTTAGAATAATTATCATTTTGATCAATACATTGGTAATGTCTGACTGGGCCTCGTGCCACTTTGTGTTCAACAAATTGGGCCCCGAGGTCAAAAAGGTTAAGAACCCCTGAATTATAGCATCATTGGTTCAGACAGACAGAACATCTGATATAATGTTTCATGTTTCCTTACAGGGTCACCATGAGGTAGAGGGAGCCTGGCAGCATCGCAAACTACGACTTCACCAGCGCCTACAGCTGTGTGTGTTTCAGCAGGATGTTAGACAGGTAGGAGCTGCTTTCATAACCTGGGTTCAAAAACTAACAATAGACTCAGAATTTATTCAAGACTTTAGAGCCACTGGTTTTTATTTTATTTATTTTTGCCTACTGGTGGTGGTCAGAGGGTCCGGTGGCGCCGGTGCATGACAGCCTCGCCTCTGTCAGTGCGCCCCAGGGCAGCTGAGGCTACAGCGTAGCTTAGCATCATCAGTGAGAATGTGTGTGAATGGGTAAATGACTGTAAGTGTACAGGACTTGATAAAGCTTTATAATTATAAAAGCCATTTATCATTCAAGAATAGGATCTAAATTCATGCATAAATTCTAATACATTAAATCTAGACTTTCTTTAAAAAAATTTTTGGAGATAAAATATAAATCTAGACACTCATATGAATCCACGTTCAGATTATTCAAGTTCTGCTGTTTCAGACTCAATAAATTTAGGACCAAACTTTAATCAAAATCAGCATTTTGGTCTTGATTCTTTAAAACATTTCAGTTTCAGTTTAGACCCAGATTTATATTAACAGTCAAAGGCAAATTGGGGTTCTGACCATTATTCATTGTAGAGGCATACTGAACACATTTAAAGCAAGATCTAAAAGCTTATTTTGATCCATATGCAGAGCAAGAATTCAATTTAAATATAGATTATGGTTCATGTCTGTTTCAATGCAATATTTCAGATGCAGATTTAGATATACTAGATCTGGGTTTACAGACATTAGTAACATTTAGCATCCATACAAATTCTTATCCTAAATTTTTTATCCTAGTGCAGGATTTTAATATTTATCTAGATTAAGAGTTACACTGGTTCACATAAAAAACTAGATACCGCATAGCGGTAACGTAATGACCCCTGCATGCACAAATGCACCAGAACTCAGAAGTCTTCATTCCTAATAAATGTCATGCTACTAGGTGCATCCCAAAATTGTAGTGCTTGGGTGGGGGTCCCAAAGAGTATCTGAAGATCCTGTGTTTAATAGTTTTTGAGCAATAGCCATTTTTGTATGTCCAGATACCCCTTTTTTTCAAATGGGGGGGGGGGGGCACTGATTGGTGGGCCTGATGAATAGAGCGTCATCAGAGCTAAACAATCAAAAAATCTGAGGCTCTGTGTTGACCTAGCCTGGTAAAAACCAGACCCTTGTCCTTCACTTTGCTTCATACGAGGGTCTGGACTCTCTGCTATAGAGAAGAGATTCTTGCAGGAGGCGTGGCCTCTGCTGAAGCGTGTGTGTTGCTGTGAAGGAGGCTAAGCTAAGAAGCTAACCGGAAATCGCGAGCGCTGTAAACAACCCTACTGAGAGGAGAGAATTACTGAGCCGAATGAGACGACTGTAAATGAGAGCTGCTACTTTGTCAGACAAATTTATTTTAATTTGGAAGCCTGATCAACACAGACTGGCTTCATTCACTTCCTCCACTGCCGTATGCTAAAATAACTAGCAGACACTGCGCAGAACAACGACGTCATTCAAAACTCCACCTTCTGTTCTCTGATTGGCCCAAGTAAAATAAACTACAAGCAGACACTGCGCAGAAAATTGACATTCTGTTCTCTGGTTGGTTCGGCTAAAAATCTGCCAGCGAAATCCTTCTCTATGGGAGAAGTCCCAGACGGAGCAGTGAAGGGAAACTAGAATTGAGCGGAGCTGCGTAGGAAGGCAAGGGCCAGACTCCCGCTTACGCTTCGCGTGTGGGTGTCATAATTAGGCTAAGATCTGAATTTTAATGTTGATTTAGACTTGTTTTCTAATCTAGAACCTATTTAAAGCTAAAAGAATATCTTGCATTATATTAGATTTCCACAGACAGATTTAAATTAAGCTTTTCCTTAAATCCAAAGTTACATTCAGATGTCCCTCCACCTGTCTCCTCTCAGGTACTGGACTGGGTGGAGCAGCACGGAGAGGTTTTTCTCAACAAACACACAGGTGTGGGGAAGTCTCTGCATCGAGCCCGGGCGCTGCAGAAACGACACGATGACTTCCAGCAAGTTGCACAGGTAAAGATGAGCTGTGAGTCTTTACTGAAAAACAGGGCGGCTGTGGCAGAGTGGTTAGGGTTCCTCTAATGTGAGAGTTGGCGGTTTGATTCCTCGCTATTCCATCACATGTCGAAGTGTCCCTGGGTAAGATAATGAACCCCCATGTGTGTGTCCCATCAGTGCATGAATGTGATTTAAAGAACTGATTAGTCTCTATTCACCTGTATTAGCTCTGCAGTGAGATGTAAGAAAATGCTGTGTGAATGAGGACACAGATTGTAAAGTGCGTTGAGTATCCTGGTTGGTGATTTATAAGTACAGACCATTTAACAAAGAAATGCTCTTTAATGACAGTCATGCTGTTGATCGTGGAGATCAGAGCTCTGGAACACTGACAGATCTAGAATCAGAACCAGCTCGAACAGTGTTTGCGTATGTTTCAGAACACTTACACTAATGCAGAGAAACTTCTGGAAGCAGCGGATCAGCTGGCTCAGTCTGGAGAGTGTGAGGAGGAGGAGATCTACCAGGCAGCTCGAGACTTGGAGCTCCGCATGCAGGTAACCTAACAGATGGAAAGACACCGTCTGGTTGTTTACATGCTGGGGTTCAGAGTTGTTGACATTGTTTACATGTGTTCCAGGCCTTCATCCAGCGGGTCGAACAGAGGAAGCTGCTGCTGGACCTTGCTGTGTCTTTTTATACTCATACAAAGGAGGTAATATGCAGCTGGTAGTGCAGAACAGTACCAAATATTTACCCAGCCGTAGTATTTGCAAGCGTTAGTTTGGTTTTACACCCTGTTAAAACATGTCTTGTTATTTCCTCGTCCACACTCGTCCACAGCTCTCGGTGTGGATGGAGGGTCTCCAGAAGCAGCTGTCCTCAGACCTCCTGGTTTGTCCAGACACAGTGGAAGCTCTGCAGGCTTTGATCAGCCAGCAGCAGCAGCAGCAAGCCAACACACAGGTACCAGCTGCACACTCAGCACCTCAGACCTGAAGTCTAACCTCATCATAACAGCCTAACACCCAACTGACCTCTGAGCACTAACCTCTAACCCTCAAACTAACCCCAGCTCTAACCCTGACCCACAGGAAGCTGCAATGAGTGTCATCAGGGAAGGAGAAGACCTCATCCTTCAGCTCAGGTAGTCCCACCCAGTGTTGCTGTGTCTTTGTTTACTTCTGCAGCAGATAAACTCTGTTGGATGAGTTTAATTTTGCCTTTGGTTTGATTATGTGCCAGTAAATTTATTTTCTGTTATGTATGATGTGAGTTTGATTTGTATATTGTGTACTGTGAGTAAGAAGTTTCTGGATTGTGCGGACAATTTTTTTCTAGATTAAATTGATTGTTAGGGCGACTCAGTTTTCTTATTAATAACAACCGATCTTCAAAAACGATCTTCAAATGTCTAAATTTGTCTGTTGACTATTTTTTTAACTGCATGTATTTATTTTCTAAATTTTGCACAATGTTTGCACTCTTTTGTTTTCTAGATTATTTGAATGCGGAAATAGTTTGTTCGTTTAGTTTGTGGATTATCTGAAGGCCAGTTTCTAAATTTAAAGTGGGGTGCTTTTCCTTCATGGTGTTGTTTTAAAGCATGAGTGCATTTTTCTACCTTTTGCAAAAGAAAAGAGTGACTTGTGTTTAATAAAGGAGTGAATGTGCAAGTCAAAGTGACGTGCAGTATTTTAGTTTGTGTACTTATGCATTTTGTAGAGGGTGTACTATGTTGTTACCATATTCTTTAGATTGGTTTGTTTCTCTCAATTTGTTTAAAAAATATCTCTTTTGCTTTATAGATTTTCCATATTGAGTTACTGCATATGTTTTCTGTTTTCTGTCAGGAAGTGAATATCTCAAACTACATGGCTACATGTTTGTTTGTTTGTTTGTTTGTTTGTTTGTTTGTTTGTTTGTTTGTTTGTTTGTTTGTTTGTGTTAATATATGGATCCTGAAAATACATGAATTCTATGGGTCTGTTTAATTAATTGTAGACTTTGTCAGTATTTTGTAAAGAATGTTTTGGTACATTTGTTTACATGGTGATGATGTTTCTGTAGGTATACTCATCTAGATTGACTGATGTTGTAAAGCTTGACTGAATGTGTGTGTTTTAGGTTATGTAAAGATATGTAAACGACATTATCTGATGTGTTTTCTAAGTTGTTTTTAATGTTTGCAGATCAATTTTCATTACATGTCATCCATCCATCCATCCATCCATCCATTTTCTTCCGCCTATCTGGGGTCGGGTCGCGGGGGCAGCAGCTTCAGAAGGGAGGCCCAGACCTCCCTTTCCC